AGATCACATCGCACCCTTGCTACAAAAGTGACATAATTCGAAAAACGTATCATGGCAACCTGAAGGCACGTTTACACGCTCAAGTAATTTGCTCGCACAGACTTGTGCATGCAAATTTGCCCGAGCAAATTATTGCGTCTAAACGGAAGCTTACATGTTCAACCAAACTGCGCAAACTGACTTGTGCATTACAGTAAATCCTCAATGAATGTGTGAAGACTCCTCGGCACTGACAAGGAGATTCCTTCAGATGTAATGATGACTTTATAATGAGATTTTGCGCATTGATAGAGTTTGGAATTCTGAAGTCAATGATATTTGTTTCAACCGCATATGGCCATTAGTTTACGAAATATTTAATGTTCAATGCCGAGAAGTCTTCGAACACTCATCGAGGATTTACTGTATTACAAGTCAGTTTGCGCAAATTATTTGACCGTGTAAAGGGGACTCAAATAGAAATACAACGACTCAGTTCATTTGCAGAAATTTCCATGCACAAGTCAGAATGCGCAAATTATTTGAACATGTAAGAGCGACCTAACGCAGGTAGCCGATGGTCGCAGCGATTGTCGTGCCTTGGGATGTCCCTATCGGTCAGGAAACCGTCATAAACGGGGGTTCCTGGGCAGCCACACCTCACGTTGCAAAACATTCATTGCCCTAAGATCATTTCTCTATTGTATTTCGACGCTGATTTCCAGGAATCCTAGAAACAATACCTACACTCAACTCCACTCCTCCCACCTCATACTACCACTTCTTTCACAACATACACCTACCAAAATCCTGCATTTTTCACCAATCAGAAGTGTGATCCCTTGCAACAGGCATCTACGCGTGCAACCACCAAACAGTACACATTCCACCATCAGTCAGAACACATCTATCAGTCAGAGTGAACACAACCAGTGCACACATACAGCACATTGTCACATTTACGTTTATATTAACATTTAAGTGTGTTACGATTCACGTTTATATTGATATTAAGTGTGTTATATTTACGTTTATATTGAAATTTAAGTGTGTTACAAAATCATTTCAAATCATTCAAAATCACACATATACACCATAAGACCATCTTTCCAACGAGCTCTATAATATTAACCCTCGGAGTACGGACGTTTTTCATGTTCGTAAAGGTAGTGGTGTCTGGGTCCGTTTGAAACCCTACGCTTCCTTCTTTTTAAACATACTTTCGAAGGTGATCGTTAAAAAACACCTGCTCTTTTACGATTAAAAATACGGTTCTTAAACACTCGTGTCCAAACGAACACCATCACTGTACTCGAAGGGTTAACCCGCTAACTGCATTTGTCTATTAAAGTAGAAGCCTACTTTATCAGTTTAATGACAATATCTAGAAGATTTTTTTCCGATCCGTAGTACAAAATTTCTTTAAATCACATCCAAACATTAGAAACGTGAAAGTTTCTGGAGGTAACTTAAGAGGGTGACCTTGACAACATATGTCAAGATCAAGGTCATTGGTCACTTTACTTATCAATACTACTAAAGTACGGTACTACACTTTTTTTGATAATAACGTTTTTACACCCGGCGACCCGCAACTAAAACTTTCACAATAAAACTCACAAACGAAAAGGCACGGAAGTGTCCCCCTTCAATTTTGATGAAACTGCGTCTGTCTGTTACGCAGTTAAACATAAGGGATACGTATTTTTTTTTATCGGCTGAGACGCGACTTTAAAGGGTGAAACCACCCCTCGAAGTTTGGATCCGAAAGTACTATCTCGAAAACTAGAGGAGATACATGAAAATTTCTAATGGACAAGGTTCGCAACAAATTGCCCAAAATATAATTTGTTTATAACAAAAAAATTTCGGATCGAAACTTCGAGGGGTGGTTTCACTCCTTAAAGTCGCGTCTCAGCTGATAAAAAAAAATACGTATCCCTTATTTTTGACTGCTTAACAGACATACGAAGTTTCATCAAAATCGAAGGGGGACAATTCAGTTCCTTCCCTTGTCAGAGTGGATAATCTTGCCAACATATTCAAACATCACCCAAATCGTTTTAAATAATCTTGAAATGACTATTAATTATTAACTTTATGAAAAAAAAATTTCTTACACGGTTCCAAAAAAGAGCGTGTTAATTTACCAATGAACAGTGACAAATCGCGAAATTCCGAATTATCATTGTGAGAAATGTTACAAGAACACTGTTCAATCAATCGTCGGAAATGTAATCTTTCAGATTTATAAGTGGGCCGGTAGAGAGCAATTATGTCACTTTTACTGTTCGGAACAAGACTGTGATTTGTGACGGTCCTTTGCATTTTTTTGGGGAAATTAATATTTCTGTATTACGTCACTTTTGCATCTAGAATGTGATATGCTTGTAGATTTCAAGGTCGTTTTACTGTTTTAATGGAACCGTATATTTTACGTTATACCGTGTCGTAACGGATCTGGGCGAGAAATTCGATAATACGTAACAGGGAATACTGTCAGACGACCTTGAAACAGACATTTCATGTTAGACCGACCGTCTTATTTCCGTGTGAAAGAAATTTTGAAGTTCTTCGAGCCCGATATTATGGTTCTAAATATAATAAAATTGATGTGTTTGTAGATGTCAAGCAAATTGTTATTTTTTTTTATCAGATCGTATATATTTTTCAGATACGAATTAAAAACAATTTCTATAATAGTAACACAAAGTTCGGATAATTTTGGAATGAAAATTTTATAGTAGATCAATCTTTGTGTTTTATTAAAATAAATGTTGCAGGAAATTGATTAAATATGGAATAGTATACCTAATATGGAATAATGCCAATTTTTTAAATCTGACAAATGAATATGTGTCAAACGGCTATAGACTATCTCACTCATTCGCTTTGACAACGCACACCTAACTCAACAGTCGAGCGAACTTTACTGATGTATTTTAAATAAAAAACTTTTGACTGTTTGTAAACTTGAAATATTTTTCGTATGTTTTTGTCAAATCACTTATTACACGAACAACATCCCTAAACAACCCACTCGACATTGACACTCGAACCACCAAACCCGTCAAAATGACGGATTACAGATTTACTATTTTACAATTACTGAAATTATAATGGTGCTTTCGAGAGAATTTATGTTGGTTTTTAATTTACTACAGATTTTATTTTATCATAGATTATGCCAGATTGTCTTATATATTCTGTATATTATTATATTATACAATTTAATTTAGTATACCTTTAATGCTGGTAGTTCTAATATTAATTTGCAGTGAGTGCAACAATATTTGTGGTTTCGAACATATCAGCATAACATCACGAATTTTAAGTCGTACCTGTATTTTATTAAAACTAACAAATGCAGAAAATACTGGGGTAATTGTGCAACTTAGCGGCTTTTCTCAATTTCAGCTATAAATATCTGGGTAACTAAGTTCAAGCGGTGCTAGAATGTACAGGAAAAAGTAATTCAAAATGTTGAGCTCTATAACATATGCAAAGGTCATTGGAATCGATATTGAATGTATAATTCCGAATAATTTCCCACATTTTTTTTATACAAAAATAACAAATGTTACAAAATTAAGTTATTTAAAAAAAACCGTAGTGAAATAGCGTGCACATATAGACAGGATTCAGTGTAATAGTAGCAGCAGTTTTTTGCAAATATCTCGGGAACTACATTACCTTTTTAACCTCATACAGGCATATATAATATTATTTTAAATTATAATGTAAAAAACATAATTATTATTTTATGCTGCCTGTATGTTGTATGATAGATTAAATGTCCGTAATACTGCCACTTTATTTATTTTACTTAATGAAAACATAACGTACGAAGAAATGTGTACTGAAGATTGTACTATTAACCCTGTCCAACCGGAGGATTCCATTTGGAATCGTCAACTTTTTTAGCATTTATAGTTCATATCATGAACCTGAAGATTCAATATGGCATCGTATCGTATAGTATAATTTTTTGCCGTTAGACGGAAAAGTTCTCGAAAATATCATTCGGGACCCAAATACGTTACGGGACCCGACATCTGTCGGGATTCCGGCCGCTCTCGCCCGATTTGTCCCGACCCGAACCGATCCCGAAATGTCGGGTACCCGCACACCCCTGTTAAAAACCAATCAAAGTGTGCTTTATTTTTGGTTTCATTTCTAAAGCCGCGTACTCACCAAGCAAGCGAACACGAGCGAACAGGAGCGAGCGAGCATTCTCACTTAGTGAGCACGCGTTCGCTGAATGATTCGACTCGTGTCAATACATCAAAAGAAAAATATGTTCGCGCTCGTCTGGTGTAGACGGTTATTTGTCGCAATCGATTGCTCTGCCCGGGAACGTTCTATTCCGTGTGAAATACAAATGGAATGGTGTAATGAAAACATTATTAAACTCATAGACATTTACTGTAACCAAAAATCGTAGAATATCTTTGCTATATAGTTTGACACTTTTCATTATTTTTGGTTCAACAAGTTGTAGAAATTTTTCAAAATCTTCGGTCAACATTCTGCAGAAATTTCGGAACATTGCATATCCTTCTTCTTCCTACACGTCCTTTAACAAATGGCTTCCTCTATACCGTTGTCTGTTTTTGAACAGTGAAGTTGGCCACCATCGTTTATCTCGTTTTCTTTGTTTTTATTTTTTGCACTTAACTTCAATACAATAAAAGCAGCACTTGCGCAAACAAATTTCTTCGTATTCATTATTTCACAATCTGCTCGCGGTCAGTCTTCGGATCAATTGCGAACAGAAATGAATTCGTTCGAGTGTTGACGTAGGACGAGCATTTCAGTTGAACACGAACGAACTCCTTGCGAGCTTGGTGAGTACGCGGCTTAACACAACTGTTAGTGTATATATCATTAAATATTCTAACTTGGTCATTCATTCATAAAATAATCCTATCTATTTTTGAATTGCAGTGCGTACGCAAGCGAGTGTGTGTTTGCAATTTACAGATTGCAATCAAAGGTGACCGAAATCGATCTGATTTCAGCTCATTTGAAGATGACCTGTCCGTGTGTACCAGCTTCGACGATGCAGATGCAGAGGACCCCGGGGACTACAGACAGCCGAGGCGACCGCATTGGGCCAACAAAGTGCAATTTGTCCTTGCTTGTATCGGTTACTCTGTCGGCCTCGGTAACGTTTGGAGGTTTCCTTATCTATGCTATAAAAGTGGCGGTGGTGAGTACCAATATACATTGTAATATACCAGTATAATTTTATTATGTGATCGGCGGTCTCCCCATAAGACAGTGACGAGTCACCCTTGGCTCTTATTCGTAAATAACACTCGTAGATCTTGAAGGAAACTTAACCCATTCGGTATGGGATGAAATTTTCACCTTGATCATTAATAGTTAAATATTCTAAAGAAATTAACACATTTTTTGGCAAAACGAACCGCGCAAAAATGCTTATCCGTCAAACTCTTTCCAATAATGGGAGTACACGCCTCTTTTGTTTCGTGACTGGATCAATGTATGATTACGATAATGTAATTATTATATTTAATTTATATTAAGAAGTCAACCGAAATCTGAAACATTTGGCTCCGTTTTGTATATCTGATAATACCATTTTTATGTACTAATAATGTATTATATACACATACTAGTGTTACATATTATAATAGTATACGTTCCGTGGAATACCTATGAAATCACCCTTCAATTCTTATGTATTGGGGTTGAAATAAAAACGAACCAAGTGTGCCATGTCTGCAATCGTCTTGAAAAATAATGTTTTTTTCAGAAAGGATAAATTATATTTCCTAGAAAGAAAGTGGTTTGTTTTTATTTTAACTTCAATACATAAGGGTTTAAAATTTTAGGATGGTTTTATAGTCATGCCATGCAGTGTATGTACTATAATATACAGGGTGGGTCACTTAACGTTTGCACCTCAAATATCTTTGTTAGTTTTAATGATACGTCAAGAGTCTTAAGGACAAAGTTGAGGAAAAATTTTGTACATCATCTTTTTTAGAGATATCAAGGTCACCTTCAGTTCTTAAAATGGAATCACCCTTTCTTAAACACCTACAATGATAGTCCCTTTCATTAGGAATTCAGTGACTATAATTATTCAAGGTCATTCAAGGTTACGGAAAAAAGGGTGGTTCCGTTTAAAAAACTGAAAGTAACCTTGATATCTCTAAAAAAAATGACATAAAAAGAAAAAAATTTTGGTATCGTGTAAGCCCCCTAGAACTATTCTACTTTGTTCTTGAGACATTTTACGTATCTTTAAAAACAACAAAGATATTTGAGGTGCAAACATTAGGTGACTCACCCTGTATGTGCAAAGGGTTTCATTTGAATCGATCCACTCGAATATCTCCGAAAGTATTAACGATGATATGAGAAATGTTTGATGCAGAATTTGATCGGCTTAGAAATAGGAATACCATGAGAGAAAAACAATGTTATAAGATCATTTTCTCTGAGTTTTTAAAAATTCATTTGATAATGCAACTTCCCTGTTTTTTAATTTTCAAAGTACCATCGAAAACTTAGAATCTCATACGTAACGTATAATACGTGTGTCAACTTTAACTGAATTCTGTGAATTCCACGAAATTTGTTTACTATCTGGTACTATTTTTGCAGCAGTAACTTCAACGAAGAGCTTTGATCGCTTATAGTTCTATTAAAGACAATCCTTGTAACAAAGAAAAAACTTGCCTAGATATGCAATCCGGAGTACGATCGATAACCATAAAACAAATGTTAGGTATCACAATTTTGATGGTATTGTAACCGTAGAAAATATTGCGTTCAACTCACGAGAATCTCTGTTAGTACACCTCGAACAGATGTTCGTACAAAACAAATTTGTATGCACTAGATTACCGGTGACATACATATGTCTGTCACGATTAGTATACCAGTGATAAGAGGTCATATTTATTCTTTGCACCGTAACTAATTGCTACTGGAAAGAGTTATTCCGGATAGTGTACGCCGAAATTAGGCATTACATACGTTAATCTTTACTTACATAATAATTTAAATAAAAAATAATCTTTTACTTGAATATTGAGCGTAAAGAAAAAATAATTGTTTATTCTCAAACAAATCTTAATAAACCGTTCACAATAATACTTTTCACAGTTAATTACTATTCGTTAACTGTTATTTATCATATGTTACCATTTATTTATCGGTTATCCAACAAACATTCGGTATCTATTCTGAGTCCTTATCTTATCATATTATTTGTGAAATTGACAAAAAATACTCATATACATATATTCATTTGACGATGTTTGTGGAAAATCCGTCAAACAAAGAATTAAAAGACTTTATTTGTTTCGTACTTAATTCTAAATAAAACATTTTCGTGATATTGATTTATGTTGGGTGTATTCTTTTTCCATTTCTCGAATATAACATTTTGTATTTAATATACATAAATGTATAAACTTGGCAATATATTTTCTGTTCTATTATCCTTAACTGTGTTTCTTCTCACTACCATAAGTCTACCACACTCTACGCTATGAAAAAAGAAAAATACGAAACAAATGAGACGAATAGTAATTGGACTAATGTCATTATCGGTCAATAATGTTGATTAAGTCTGGTGTCGGTGAAAACAGTGTCGATGAAGTCTGTGTCGGTGATTTCAATGGAACCCCCCTATATAAGCACTACCCTACTAGAAACCGAAAAAATACCGGTATTTACTTCGGTTTTCGGTAATATATGAGTTTCGGTATAGCTTTGGTGGCATAATATCGGTTTCAAAATCATACCGGTTTATGAAGTCCCTGCTTTCAACCACCAGACGGCAACGCATCCCCTTTTGTACTATATCCTCGAAAAATCTATTCAGAGCGAGGGCAGACGTTCTCTCGATCCGTGAGCCCGTAACGCTATGCGCGTGTCTCGTGTTTCCGTTAATTTTGCAAAGTCTGGAAGCATCTCCGACGGCGGTGTCCGGACGTGGCGCAATCAGCTCGCGGAACTTGATACATGACCTTGCCGGAACGTCGCCAGCGGTAGAGCGGTGTAGCCATGGTAAATGATTTCAATGACACCGGTGGAAATAATCGGTCGAGTAGTAATTTCGACCAACTGCACGGTAAATTGGCGAACCGGAACACCAGAGACGGGGTGGCAAGGTCCGATTACACCGGTAACGGACCAACGCACTCTTTTGAATAACAAAGTGGCAACGAATGACGGAATAATCGTTGGGGTACGAGCTACGATGCGTTACTCTGACAAGGTACACTATACAATTGATGACAAAATCGCTACAGATTTTTATATACAGTAATACCCGGAAGTTACGCCATGGGTGGTTCTGGCATTGGTGGCGTAAGTCGAAGAAATGTAAGTCGGAGTACAAATTTCTATACAACTTTATATTAATCTGAGCTAATCGGTTCTTTGATAACGGATCTAAAAATAGAATGCTAATTTATTGCTAATTAATACTGTTTTATTCATTAGACTAAACTATAAAAAATACTTATGTGACATACAAGTGGCAGGTAAGAGATGGGAGAGGAAACAATGTATCGTGTAAGTGCAAATTTGCGTAAATCGGGAGAACGTAAGTCGGGGTATTACTGTACTGTAATGTTTCCGATTTCTCGATACTGTTCATTTCTCGAGAAAACGAATTTAGTGATATATAATAGTAGGTACGTAGGGGAACCTGTTGTACCTCAGACATGGTTGTACCACGGTCCCATTGGAGTAATTAGGTAGAGGCCAGGGTAAGCTTGGCCCCTGCAGAATACGGACTGCCCCCCCCCCCGTCCGGAAGTAATGGAAATATATAAAAAAAAAAACATTCGTCAGTTGATAAAATCTTGTGTTATCAAAAATAAATACATGGGCCGAAATGCAATACGCAACGCAAGTACAAACAATACAATACAATCCTCATTACGTTGTATGTATATAAAAGTCTATGAGTAGTTTAGATGTTAAAGCTTAAATTCATAATTTGTTCATGGCATTATTGAACTTACTTAATTGTTATGTAACAAGATCTATTGGATGTTTTCTTTTGAGTCTGCGGTTGATGGGTGTGTATATTTAAGAATTTTGTAATATCTTTGTTAGTGATATGCCGTGGAGTTGCTCTAATTAGCCTTAAGATTTTTGCCTGTTCTGTTTCGATTTTCGTCAGATTAGATTTCGATACTGTAGTTTAAAGTGGTATGCTATAGGTCCACAATGGTTTAATTTGTGAGATAAAAATTTTGTTATCAATATCGACAAAATTTAGGTAATAAGGTAATTTTATCTACCTAATAGATTCCGAATGTAATGTTGAAAATAACAATAATTATAATTAATAATACTGACATTGTTACCTGAAGTCTAAGCTAACTAAAAGTCACAAAATACGAGACTGAATTAAGGCTTAATTCGCATCAAGCGTACGACCACCGATGTTTTACGTCCGGTGTTAATTTACGTTTTCGTGGGAAAATCCGCGCTGAACGGAAGGAATGCAATTATCGTGGAAATCAACGTTAGTTTTTCTTCTACTCGGAACAAAACCTTTAATGGTTCGCGGAGGTTCAATATATTGCACCTTGATTTTACCAATGTTGAAAGCTTAAATAACCTAGATTTTATCTATTTAACCCTTTCGAGACAAATTTTTGTAATAACGATGAACTCAGTAATATAATATTATAGTACCAACACATTATACACTCAAATATGAATTCTTTACTTCATATTCTGGGAGAAACTCGTTAATTTTCTGTAGAAGATATGCAGTCGAAGAAAGAATATTCCTACACTAGTGACATTTATTACAAATTGTCAATACTATTTTCACTATAATTATTTGATTAAGAATGATTTACTTCAATGTATACAAGAACAATTTAGCTTTATATTAAAGTATATCCTGATGAAAGTCACTTTTAACCTGTTGTTACACTAAAAACGGTATTGTCAGTCGATGGTGGAAGTCATCGGTGTATGGATACTTTTTACTGTCACTGTATATATATATATTGATAGGAAATACAATAAACAAGAGTCATGAGCTTCTTTTAGGTTAATAAACATAGAAAATAATCAATTTTAATATATCTATATTAGTAGCCCATTAAATAATAAAGAACTAATAGCAAATAGATAATCTGTAACAAAAAGAAGTTTTATTCAAACCAATGTGTGCTGAAGTCATTTATGTATATGCAT